CCCTGCTCGGGGACTGTTATCTTGGGCAAGACCGGATAACTCGGGAAAGAAATTCCAATGGGTGGCTCTCGAACTAAAAGGCTACGACCACATTAATACGGCTCAGAGACGTCTGAGACCCGTAACAAAAACTAGGCCTTCAAAAAAGAAATTTTTCATAACCGGTTCTAAAGGCTACCCTCAGCAAGCTATAAACCTAAAATATTTTGGGAAAAGACTTCAGTAACACCGAATCCCTACAATGCCTTAACACAAAGTAACATTAAAGGCAAGGTTTGTTCGAACCTTCGAACATAACCTATTTCATGTTAAGGCATTCCGACGTTTTTACAAACACAAATGATAAAACAAAGGAAAAATCCGAAAGCTGAAAGGGAAAGAAAGTCTTGTATATATTTACCAAAAATTCTTTTTACAAGGGCCAAATGGCCCTAATACAGAAATTTACAATAGCCAAAACGGCAAAGACAAAACGTCTAAAAAGATCCTAAGTGGCCAAATCTTCAACGGGAGTTGCGTCGTCACCTTCGGGTCCTTCACCGCTTTCGGGCACCTTCGAGTCTTCAGATCCCTCGGAATCCTACTCCTAGGGATAAGCCAGCTTCTTGGCCTTGGCCTCGGATACCTTGGCATTCTCGATCTTAACCAGCAGGTCGAGGGACGGCTTCCCTTTGTGATTACCACCTCATGTGTTCCACCAAGATTTTTGTTTGGACCTAAACTGCCTCAGCATCGGCCTTATACTGGTCCACCCGCTCATCAGTCTCATCCTTAACCGCAACAACCTCCGACTTGGACACCTCAAGTTCCTTGGCCATATTTTCTTGGCCAGAAACCGCTGGGCTCAGTTGTGACTGGAGCTCCTCGATCTTCTTGGCCTACACCAAGATTTTTACTTTTGCAGCCCGAAGCTGGACCTCAGTCGAAGCCAGTTTTTCTTGGGCGGTTTCCTTTTTTGACGTCAGGCGATCCATATTCTTCTTCCACTACGCAACCTCAGCCTTCACCGTGTCCACCTCCACCTGGAGTTGCTTGATCTGGTCAAGTCTCATCTGGACCTGCAAGTTTGGGTCGTTAGCCATTGTGTCTGAATCATCATCACTAAGTTCGAATATTTATCTTACCTTCCCGACCAGATTGGTGTTTTCATTCGGAGCTGCCTCTAGCTCGGCCTGAAGTTTGTCACAGAGAAGCTTATAGGTGTCCCTCTTGTCAGTTAGCTCCCGAACCTCGACCTCGTGTTGGGATAACTCCTCCCGATATCGGAGGAAAGTTTCATGGTGAAGTACCTTGTCCTGCGAGTATAAAGAAAAGTGTTACAATTATTTATAACTTAAAATCCAAAGTACTTAATAAAGAGGCACTCGAAGTTACCCGATTCAACGCCTAATTAGCTTCATTGGTCATGTAGGATGCTTCCACCTCGTCCATATTGGCCTGGTATTCTTCGGTCACCAAGCACCGAAGATAGCTAGCAACCCCCACTGGGGCGGAGAGAACCCGGGCATCCTCCGGGATAGAGATAACTATTGACCATTTTCGGTTAGGATCAACGCTCAGAGCCGGGAATCGATCCACTAACCTCGGGCTCGAAGAAAGCCCATTGGCCCCCAAAATACGGTGCTTTCTTTGGCACCGGTAAATCACCAAACTCGGTAACATCCTTTGAGGCGGTAGATCCTAAGCCATCGAAGAAGTTATTGAGATCTGCCACCCCTTGAGGCAGCTCATGCAAATGATCCTTTAGCATACCGGACTCGTTGATCATGGAGTCGGAGAATAGAGGAGACCCGGTGAGATCAAACGCCCTAGGCGCATCTTTTGAGGCACTCTGCCCTGCTCGAGGAATATCGCCCCCGGCTTCCTCTTCGACCTCCCTAGCTTGGGGCATAGCGGTTTTGCCCTTCTCCGATTCAGGGACCTCAGTCACTACCCTCTCAGCAGCCTCGCTGGCTTGGGGCAATAAGGTGTGGGCTCGCACCCGAGCCACCAGCTCGGAATTTTTTTCTTCTTCGGACTCATCCCTCAGTCGGTGGACGAAGTCCAATGGGAGGGTGCCAATGCTTTCTTTGGGTTTGCGCACCTGCCTCTTATTCAGTTTCTGCTTCTCCGAGTTTGGGGAATTCAGAACCCCTTTTCTTTTCTTCTCTTTCTCCTGCTTCAGAGCAGGAGATTTGGAGAGGACGATTTCATCTGCGGGTGGGGGCCTCATCGCAATATCCTTCCCAAGAACTACAAAGAAAAAGAGATGAGTAAGCTTGGAAAGAAACCCAAGTGATGTCAGTTCTATGAAAGAATCTTACAGTGAGAACAAACTTCGCATGGGCCCTTTGAAAGTTCGGGCCACGTGCGCTCGGAATAGGGCTTCTGTGTTATGATGCCCTCGACCCACTCCTTGAGTCGGGGAACTACATCCGGCATTCGAGCGACAGCTGCACCACGAAACATTGATTAGGTGAGAGGAAAGGGAAAAGCAATAAGCAATATCTTAAAAGTGAAGTTATACTTACGTTTCATGTTCCATTTCTCGAGAAATGGCATTTTCTCGGCCGGGATTATATCTGAGGTCTTCATTCGAACAAACCGGCCCAACCAGCCTCGGTCTCAATCGTCATCTATGCTCGCGAATGGGGCCTTAGTAGCCCGACGGGCAAGCTTTATCAATCCCCCTCGGTAGAGTCGGGAACTGTACAAACACATGAGATGGTCGATGGTGAAGGGGCACTTGTCGAGCTTGTTCATGAAGAAACGAAGCAGAATAACAATCCTCCAAAATGAAGGATGAATCTGCCCGAGCGTCACTTCATACCTTTTGCAAAAGGCTATGATAACTGGATCTAGAGGGCCCAAAGTGAAGGGATAAGTGTAAACATTTAGAAAACCCTCCACATGTGCAGTGATTGATTCCTTGGGCGTAGGCACTACCACGTGTTTACCAGCCCAATTACAAACTTCCTTGACTTTGGGGAGGAGATCGTCAGTAATAGAGACTATATACCTCAAGACCGGCTCGCATCGACCTGGTATGGAAGGGGTTTTCTCGATCCTGAAGTCGGCCCCAGTCGGACACCCCGCAAGAATGAACAGAGTTGAGGGGGGTTCTGGTGTCTTTTCCTCGACAACAGTAGACATAGCCTTTTCCTCTTCAGACGGTCTCGACGAAGAGGGAGTTTCCTTTTGAGGAACAGATTTAGAAGTCTTTGCCATTGCTTCTGAGTAAGGGTAAAGAGATGGTACTGATGAAAGAGAGGGCGTAATTGGCAGATAGTTGTGAAAATTCTCAGAAAATTATAAAGGAAACTTGAACCAGAAAACCAGAGGAAGAAGGTGATGAAAGTTTCTTAAACGCACAAGAACAGACGTGTGAATATAAAAGTTCTAATGGATGGAAGGATGAAGTATTTATAGTTTTCAAACGGCGGTTCAAAACCCTTAGTGGCCGACCAACAACTGACACACATTTAATGCCTTGAGGACTGGACCGACGGGACATTTCAGTTACCTTTGCCGCTTACGTCATGATTTATCGAAGCAAGGCTTGGAAGTTCATATCATTTCTCGTCGTCTTCTCTCCAAAAAATGAGGGGACTATCTGTATACGGTCAAAACCGGGTTCATCTATTATATGACTAGTCGAGACTGAAATGTGACGGGTCGAAGTTTGACCCCGGGTTATATCGAAGCAAGGCACCAAGTTAAAACGTTGAGCTCGTGACTCCGGGATCGAACAAGATCGAGGGAACTTTATCGAGCCAAATAACGGAAGGCCGAAATATCCGCAATCAGTTGGAGATCACAGCGGTAATCTCGGCATGTATCGAGGAGAGGTCGATTAATTAGCAAATCACGAGATTTTTTACCTTTTATAGAATTGTGTCAAGAGTAGAGCTCCCCTACTATATAAAGGGAGGTTGTCCAATTTGTGTAGTTTGCATTTATTTTCTTCTCATTAATTTCAATATTAATTTGTTTTTCTAATTTGTATCAAGTTATATCACGTATCCTTACAACCGCGTATAAATTCAATTGTTATCCGATTTTAGGGTAAACATTATTTAATTTGATGATTGTGGGAGAAGTTTTATCACAGATGACCGCATCTATACGAGTTGATACGTGTATTATCCGACCTCAAACTCCGGTGTTTCATAATATGCAACAACAAAAGTTAAATATGGTGTTATATGTTCCTTTTTTTTTTTTTTTTTTTTTTTTTTTTTTTTTTTCTTTCTGGTAAATTAGTTCGTCNTTTTTTTTTTTTTTTTTTTTTTTTTTGGTTTTAGTAAAGATGGATAAGCGTAGGCATAGTAGAGTAGATGGACATGAAAAGGAGGAGAAAACGTGTGAGCTACAGATTCATTAAAGGAGAGAAAGGGAATATTCCAACAGCTAAGGATATATATGATCCACAACCCCAGATTTAAGGATGAAGTTACGTTGGACAGAAGTTGAAGCTTCATTTAAGAAATCTTTGCCTTGTTAATTGTCTAATGATGAGAGGAGCAGTAGAACTAGCTACAATTATTAATTCCAATGAATGTGGTCAAGGAATCAATTGTCTGGAAAACCTATGCCTTTTGCTCACCCCATAAGTAGAACATGCATATTATCAGTTTGAATGGGATGTCTCTCCCTCCGTCTACACCCTCCCCTCCCCCTACCCTAAAAGCAAAAAATAAATTAAAGGGATTAATTTGATTACCTCTAAACTAAATTAATGCTATATATCTAATAACTGAATTACTTAATAAAATATCGTTTGGATGCCAATGGTCATCTTTCTTAAAATATTACTACTGGTATTTGAAAAATTCCTTCTGTCAAAGTAAAAATTATGTCAATATATTACATCTAGAATTACTAAAAAGTTTTATGTGAATGATGGTTAAAACTCTTGTAAATCCTTCAATAAATTTTTGCGACAACTCAAATAAGAGATGTTTTATTTCTAAGACTTAGTTACACCATCAAGTAAAGCTATATTAATATTTCACAGAGAGTTAACTTAAAAATAAATTAACATAAAAGAAAAGAATGTTAACATTACATAAAAGGTAGTAGTAATCATCAACCCCTTCAAATTAGTATGTACCTACCATTTAATATATTCTATCTCAGTGAAAAGAATTACCTAAAGATAAGACAAATGAGTAAGCTGTACAATATAATGTCCTAATAATTTCCTCTAACAGATTAAAATCAAGCTAATAATTCCATATGGAATCAAGATCTGCAGGTATAGTGCTACACCGGTTAACAGAAAGATCCTGATCCTCAGCATCTTCAAAGTGATTGCCACTATCAAATCCTTGCTTTGGAATCACTGAAGAAAGTCCAGTATCCTGTGAAAGACTAATCATAGATTTATTGTTCAACGAGAGCTGCTGCCTTGTACCATTCTTGGAATATTCAGAAATTTTTGAATTCGGAGGAAGTGATTGATCATGGTTGAAACTGGAGTACGATGAGTTACTGGAACTGGCAAGCTGATTGTTGTGCTGATAATCATCAATGCCAGTGAAGATATAATGTGTGGGTACAAATAATCCGTAGCTCTTCTCATCCTCTCGTAATAGCTGCTGCTGCTTGTAGGCATAATTGCCAGTGGAAAAGTAGGCTAAAGAGTGAATTTCATCAAATGTCGATGTAGTAGTAGCGGCTCTTATGTTGAGTTCATCTTTTGGGATTTCTATTAAACAAGGCAGTGAAGAGGGACTATCTAAGAGATCTTCCACAAATAGTGGACCTCTTCCTACTCCTATCTTCTTGTGGAAAACTCTACAAATAACCCATTCGTCCTGCCATCATTTAATTATAGCAAAATTAGTATCGACACTTTGATTAACTGCCAGTGCAAAACAATAAGTCATCAAAATGATAATTACAGATAATCAATCATATATTAGTAAAATTAGTCATCTGAAGATAAAGTGTGCAATCAACTATAACATGTCCGATAACATTAATAATGTAAAATTTCTTTAAACTATTCGTGTATATAAGTTAAAATCCTTTTATCAACACCTTTGGTCTAATTTCTAAGAGTATTTTTTTTTTGTTGAAAAATCTCGAGTAAAAGTTCTGTACATGTTTTTTTGAGTGAAAATTACTCTGACTTTAATAACTATCTAACATTGGCCTAGTTTACAAAATATTTTACTAATATTTTGAAACAGAATACATTTCAATATGAGTATAGTTTCTAATTAATCTATTAACATCACGCCTATTTTCACAGAGAAAATTTGTTGAACTTAATTTGGAAGTTTAAAGTAAATAATCATTTAGGACAAATTAAAGTAAAACACAAGGGTTAAAGAATAAATGTCTAAGCAAAGGAGGAAAGAGATAAAAATGGATCAACAAACTGCAAACAGTTAATCATGCTGGGTAAAATTGAACATGCAATGGACTTGGACATATTCACAAATTAAGGAAGTATGTACCATAGCTGCCTTGTGAAGACAGTTGTAAGAAAGATTTCCTTGAAGTCTATATTCATGCATGACCCAATTGGTCTTCTCTCCTTTAGGAGCTCTTCCTTTGTAGAAGACAAGAGTTTTTTTCATTCCAACAAGACAACCTTTGCTCTTGTAAATTTCCTTATCTTTCCCAGTAGCTTTCCAATAACCTGATTCTGTTGCACGATTTGTTCTCATTCCTGTTGGATACTTCCTATCTCTTTGCCAAAAGAAATACCATTCTTTTTCTCCCATTTTTGCCTTAGCTGCAACGTCCATCAATTTTCAAATCAAACCAAAAAAAGTAAACAAATAAAGAGGGAATAATATCAAATAAGCACCTAAAAAGGTCGGGCTATATATATACACACACCCCCCATGACCAATCATCAGCAATAAAGAAGAATCTTTAGGAATAACAGCGCAAATATAAAAATTGAATTATAAATTTGAAGTAATAATTACCAGGTAAATCCCAAGGTTCGGACTTATTCAAATCAACTTCTGCAACAGCTATAGCTGTAAATCTCTTGTCCATAACTTTCTCTCTAAGGTAGCAAGTGATAATTTCTTCATCAGTCGGATGAAACCTAAAACCAGGAGGAAGCTGGTCTAATATGTCATCACGATGCAGATCAGCTTCTTCATTAATAACCTGCATACAAGTACCCATAACCAACAAATATATGGAATTACTTTATAAATTACCAGTCAGGAGTTGCAAATATATCAGACTTTTCTTTACTAGCTAGCTTATTAGAGAAAGAATTGCTTTGCAAGTAGAAAGGGTCTTATATAGAGAAATGGTCATGAGAAGGAAGAAAGGAAGAAAAGAGGGTTACTCTTCTTTGTTATTAAGATCCGTCGGCTGCAAGTCACTTAGAATGGAAGCCTCTTGAGTTGCATATATTATATGATTAAATTATTAGAATAATAAGAAAAATGATATGATGGGAAGCTTTCATTGGACCTATTATCTCTACCTATTTGAAAATGGATGTGAAAAAGAGGAAATTAACATAAAAATTCTACTAGAGGCCAGTTGAGGCAGAAAGAGTCAAGAGTCTGTTGTTTCTAAGTTGGAAGGAGGGAGTAGGGAGCCAAGCACAATGGACCCCACATATTGTTCCTTTTTCATATACTTTTCACCTTTATTAAAGTTGATGATTTACTCGTATTTCCTCTGTCCCAATTTATGTAGAGCTGTTTGATTCCACATGAAATTAAGAAAAAAATAAATTTAAAATTTGTAATATAAACTATAGATATTTGTGTAACTGTAAATTATTTTATTAAAGTAAATTAGAATTCTTTGTATACGGGTAAAATCGAGCTCATGGTATACCCCGACTTCCGATAAGATAAATCGAGCTAGAGACATGATGACAAGGGACCGGAATCTAGGCAAGGGTCTCATCGAGTCAGAGTCTAGGGGCATGACCCCCACCCTCGAGAATATCGGGGTCATGATCCGGGATCGGTCCAAATCCCAAAGGATTTCGGAGAACGCTGTAAGGCAACCCAGCACGACCAACAGAAGGCCGTAATATTCGCGACCGGCCGGATATCACGGCATGGATCTCGGCACGTATTGATGGAGAACCGCTGATCAGTTAAAAGAAGACTTTTTACCTTTTATAGAGTTGTACTTAGGGCAAAACTCCCCTACTATATAAAGGGGAGTCTAATTATTCATTGAACACATTGTAACACGCATCCCAAAGCAATATACTATTATTTTTCTGTTATTTATAGCTCTTACGTTGTTGATCAGTGTTTCGTTATTATAAGCCCAGGATCGAAGACGGATACCTCGTTGAGGCTGCCGTCGAGTACAGAATTACCCCCCCCTATTTTCAAGCGGTTTGATAATTTATTACATCTCTTGCCTGTTTATTCTAGCAATCTTTACCGTTTGTATTGATTAAATCCACGTCTCCTTAAATCCACTTACAAATTTAATTGTTATCCGTTTTTAGGGTAAACAGTTTGGCGCCCACCGTGGGACTAAGAATAATAGTGGCAATTTGATACAAATTTCCATAACACAACCTATTTTACACTTGTTCTTTGAAGTGTATTTAATTTCAGGTCAAAGTTTAAATGTCGAACTCCCAATCTGCCCCTCTAAACATGGATGCTGAGTCCGGTCATCATGGCGAGAACAACGATATGGTACCCAGTAACGAGGTACCCCCTGTCAATCCCAATATTGTTCCGGCCGCGGACCCAATCGACACTAACTCACATGTGGCCATCAATGCGAATTTGCCTACCGATCATGAGAACAACTTCTCTGGGGTAGTCTGATCGGTAGCCCAAAATACACACGACGGTGAAGGATATGGGATCAACTTGCGAGTGATCTTCGAAATGCTACAGGGCTCAACAGGTAGCGATAGCCCAGCTGCAAAACCAGAGCCGCGCCCCTAGCAAGGTTGAGCCCGAGCTGCCTCAGGAAATCGCTCGCAGAAACGAACCAGTCACGGAGAGGCCGAGTAATGCCGAACCCGGCACTAACCCTGAGATCATAAAAATGCTCGAGGGACTGACAAAATGGGTTTAATCGGGAGAAAATAAAATCAAAGCCAATGACAACAAAACGGAAACCTACAATTCCAAGGTCGACCAAATTCAAGGAGCACCACTGATATTGAAGGGCTTGGATTCCAAGAAGTTTGATCAAAAACCTTTTCCTCCAAGCGCAGCTCCGAAGCCAATCCTGAAGAAGTTCCACATGCCCGAGATTCATAAGTATAATGGAAAAACCTACCCAAATGAGCATGTGATCTCCTACACGTGCGCCATCAAAGGGAACGACTTAGAGGATGATGAGATCGAGTTCGTTCTGCTGAAAATATTCGGGGAAACTTTGTCAAAGGGAGCTATGATATGGTATCACAACTTACCCCTAATTCAATTGACTCGTTTGCCATGCTTGCTGACTCCTTCGTGGAAGCCCACGCCGGGGCCATCAAGATCGAGACCAGGAAGTCAGACCTTTTCAAAGTAAAATAGAGAGATAATGAGATACTTAGGGAATTCGTGTCCCAATTTCAAATAGAACGAATGGACCTGCCTCCGGTCGCGGACGATTGGGCCGTTCAGACCTTCACCCAAGGAATCAATACTCGAAGCTCATTGGCTTCACAATAGTTGAAATAAAATCTAATAGAATATCCGGCTGTGACTTGGACCGACGTACATAACTGGTATCAATCAAAATTTAGGGTCGAATATGATCAGCTTGGGGCCTCTTTCGGGTCCGTTTATCCCGTCAGAGCTATTGGCATATCCAAGAGAGACATTGATCGTGAACCAAGATCAAACAGGGATCGGTATCAACCATACAATGGAGACCGAAGAGGTAATGGGTCTGGGCGAAACCCTGTAAGAGGAGAAAAGAGGAGCGATCGAGGTTAAAATAACTGGGGACTCATGAGCAAAAGCGGTTTCGATAGGCCCATCGGACCTAAGGAAGCACCAAAGTCATCGGAGTTCAACTTCAACGTCGATGATGCTGCCATCGTATCTGACATCGGATGCATCAAAGACACCAAGTGGCCTCGACCTCTACAGTCTGATCTAGCCCAAAGGGACCCCAATCTAATGTGTAAATGTCATGGCACTCACGGCCACAGAACTGAAGATTGCCTACAATTAAGAGAGGAAGTTTCCCGGTTAGTCAACAACGGACATCTCCGGGAGTTCTTGAGCGATCGAGTCAAAAACAATTTTAGGAACAGGGACTCTAATCAGCAGATCGAGCAGGAGGAACCTCAGCACTTCATTTACATGATCATCGGTTGGGTCGACGTCCCCCAGGGGCCGATGTTAAAGAGCACCAAAGTGTCTATCACTAGAGAAAAACGGACTCGAGGTCGAGAAGGAGTCGTTGTTGAAATCGGGGACCTCCTCCAGAATCAGGACCCTTTTTATGGATGGTGCCTCAAACGCAAAGAGGTCCAGACTTGGCTTCGTGTTGAAGCCAACGACGGGTAATATAGTTAGTCAATCTATTAGAACTGTAAAATTGACTAACAACGAGGCCGAGTATGAGGCCATGATTGCAGGTCTCGAACTGGCTAAAAGCCTGGGGGCCGAGGTGATTGAAGTTAAGTGTGATTCCCTATTTGTGGTGAACTAAATCAATGGAACGTTCGAAGTCAAAGAGGAACGAATGCAAAGGTACCTGGATAAACTACAGGTGACATTACATCGGTTCAAGGAATGGACTTTGCAACATCTACCTCGAGATCAAAACAACGAAGCTGATGCTCTTGCCAACTTAGGATCGTCGGTTGATGATGATGAATTAAACTCAGGTATGGTCGTAAAACTCATGAAATCAGCAGTGGAAGAAGGTCACACCGAGATAAACTCGACAAGCTTAACCTGGGACTAGAAAAACAAGTATATAGATTACTTGAAGATCGGAAAACTGCCCTTGAATCCTAAATAATCGAGAGCTTTGCGCACAAAGGCGGCCAAGTTCAGCTTGTCCGAAGACAACACCTTATTCAGGAGAATGTTTGTTGGCCCACTCGCCATATGTCTGGGACCGGGAGACACCGAGTATGTCTTCAGGGAAGTTCACGAAGGCACCTGCAGGAATCATTCGGGTGCCAAATCGTTGGTTCGTAAGATAATCAGAGTCGGATACTACTAGATCGATATGGAAAATGACGCAAAGGAATTCGTGTGAAAATGCGACGGATGTAAGAGACATGCAACGATGATTCATCAGCCCGGGGAACTGCTACATTCGGTCTTGTCACCCTGGTCATTCATGATATGGGAAATGGACATCGTTGGCCCCCTGCCATGGGCACCTAGTAAGGCTTAATTTATATTATTTATGACTGACTATAAATAAATGGGTGGAAAGCCAGGCAGTTGAGAAAGTCAAGGAGAAAGAAGTTATTGACTTCATTTAGGACCACATAATATGCCGGTTCAGAATGTCGGCCAAGATCGTGTGCGACAATGGGAAGCAGTTCATCGGTAGTAAAGTGAGTAAATATTTCGAGGACCATAAGATCAAAAGGATCCTATTAACACCCTACCACCCTAGTGGGAACGGGCAGACAGAGTCTATGAACAAAACCATAATCCAAATTATTAAGAAGAGGTTGGCCGACGCCAAAGGGAAATGGAAAGAAATTGTACCTGAAGTCTTGTGGGCATATCGAACAACATCAAAATCTAGTACCGGGGCTACCCCATTCTTGTTGGTCTATGGTGCCGAAGCGCTAATACCGGTTAAATTAGGGGAACCAAGTCTCAGGTTCCGATACGCAACCGAAGAGTCAAATAATGAGGCCATGAGCACGAGCTTGGAACTGTTGGACGAGAGGCGCGAGGCCACCCTCATCCGACTGGCCGCCCAAAAATAACGGATCGAAAGGTATTACAACCGGAGAGCCAACCTCCGACACTTCAATATCGGGGACTTGGTGTTAAGAAAAGTGACACTAAAAACTCGAAACCCGAATGAAGGCAAGCTGTGACCGAAATGGGAAGCTCCATATCGAATTATCGAGATCATCGGCAAAGGATCATACAAACTCGAAGCAGGGAATGATGAGCGACTACCAAACAACTGGAATGTGACCCAGATAAAACGGCACTACTGCTATGGTACGAGCCCATTCATTCTTTTCTTTACATATATTATAAATTGAACTAACACTTGCAGGCATCGGCCAAAGAATAATGTAGTTATTAGGCCTGCAAGAACGCGTTGCACTCTTTTTCTCTTGAACCGGTTTTGTCCCAAATGGGTTTTTCGGCAATGTTTTTAATGAGGCAACAGTAGATCGTGCTAACTTAGAATTGAAGACCGGCTAT